AACAGAGACAGACTCATAGATAGAAAGCAGGATGACAGCTAAAGGCAGGAGGCTGGGGGGTGGAGGGGTTGAGCAAAAAGGAGAAAGGATTTATGAACATGGACAACAGTGCTGTGATTGTACGGGGCAGGGTATAAGGGACCTAATGGTAATGGAAAACAATAGAATATTTTAAAAACAAATAAATTAGCTGGAAAAAAGAGAACTTGTTACTGATATGACACCTTTTCTCATTTTTAATGTAAGCATTTCGTGCTCTAAATTTCCCTCTCAGCACTGCTTTAACTGTATCCTACAAGATTTGAAATGTTGTGCTTTTATTTATATTTAGTTTCTATGTACTTTTTTATTTCATTTGAGATTTCTTTGATCCATAATTACTTGTGTGTGTTGCCTAGCTTCCAAGTGTTTTGAGAGTTTCCTTTGTCTTTGTTATAGATTGCCTGGTTGATTCCATTATAGTCAAAGCTTACTCTCTGTATTATTTAAATTATTTTACATTTGTTAAGCGTTTTTTTATGGTATGTTTTAGCTTTTCCTACTTGGTAAATGTTCCCCAGGCAACTGAGAAAAAAAAGGTATTCTTCTATTGTTGGATGATGTTTCATGTATGTTAATTAGATCCTGTTGATTGAATTTGTCATTCAGATCAACTATATCCTTGTGATATTTGTCTAGTAATTCCATGAGTTGCTGGATGGAAGGGGTGTTGACATTTCCAACTATAATCATAGTTGGAAATGTCAACACCCCTCTCCTCATTTCAGCTTTATAAGTTTTTGCCTCGTGTATTTGAGGCTCTGTAGTTTCATTTGTACACATTAGTGTATTGTAGACTTTGTTTTTTTTTTTGGCAGACTGATTCTTTTTCATTCATTAGATAATGTCCCTTTTAGTCTCATAATTTTCTTTGAAGTGTACTTTATGAAATAATAATGTTGCCACTCTGCTCTTTTTATTAAATTATTTGTGTACATGGTATATCTTTCCCCACACTTTTACTTTCAACTTACCTGTGTTTGAATTTGAAATGAATTTCTTATATGCAGCATATTTGTGGTGAAATTTTTTTAAAATCCACTCTGCCAATCTCTGTCTTTTAATTGGTAATATTTAGGTCATTTGCATTTAAGTAAATTAGTGATATCTTCACACTTTAGGATATTATTTCATTATTTATTTCTTCTGGTTCTTATTGGTGTTTTTTCTTTCTTTGTCTTTCTGTAGATTTTTTTTTAACATGTTTTAGATTCCACATTGATTTTTTTAAATTTAGGTAGGGAATTTTTTTTTGCCTTTTTAAAATTTTACTTTTTTTAAATTTTTAAATCATGTTTATTCTATTACAGTTGTCTCAGTTTTTACCCCTTTACCCCCCTCCACCCATCCCACTCCCACCCGACTCCCACAGTCAATTCCCACTCTGTCGTCGATGTCCATGGGTCATTCATACATGTTCTTTGTCTAGTCCCTTCCCCTTCTTTCCACCATTGTCCTCTTTCCCCATCCCCTCTGGTCACTTTCAATCTGATCCATGTTTCCATGCCTTCCATATTGATTTTTTTAATAGCACTTTCAAATTTATCTCTGTATAGTTTTCATAGTGATTGGTCTGGGCGCTACTTATAACTATGTACTGGTATTAACATATACCACTTCAAATAAAGTATAGAAACCTCACTTCCATTTAGATCCCTATACATTCCCCACCTTTAAATATAATTGTTTAGAGTATTTGATGGTATTATAATTTGTTTCAATAATCAAATATGATGTCTATTGTGTAAACTCATATTTCTACTCTTTCTTTGGTTCATTCTTGCTTCCTGACTCTCAAAGTTTTCTTCTTTTCCATTTCCCTTCTGAAGAATTTCCTTTAGCCAGTTTCAAGAAAAGTTTTGCTAGTCACAAAATCTTTTAGTTTTCATTCATCTTTGACTGTTTTTATTGCCCTCATTTATGAAAGATTGTTTTGCCAGATATAGAACTATAGGTCAATAGTTCTTTTAACACTTAAAAATATCTTGCCTTTTCCTTCTTCATGGTTTCACATGAGAAATCCATTCAAATTGGTATTTCCCTACAAGGAATGCATTATTTTTCTCTGGCTGCTTTGTCTTTAGTTTTCAAAAATTTATGATGTGTCTCAGCATAAATTCTTTTAAGTTTATTCTGTTTAGACTTCATTCCACTTCTTTGATCTCTAGGTTGATGCCATTCATCAAATTTGGGGAGTTTTCAGCTATTATTTCTTCAAATGCCCATTCACCTCCACTCTTTCTTTTCTACTCTCTAGGACTCCAATGATAAGAATGTTGGAAGTTTTATAATTGTCCTACAGGTCCTGAGGCTCTGTTCATTTTTTTCCAGTCTGTGTTTTCTCCAGTTTTCAGAGTGGATGAAATATATTGTTCTATCCTTGAGTTCACTAATTCTGTCCTCTATCATTTCCACACCACTGTTGAGCCCATCCAATAAATTTTTATTTCAATTGTATTTTTCAGTTCTATAACTTCAATTTCTTTTCTGAGATTTTCTGTTTTTTCATTTAAGAGAATTTGTAATTGATGGTTATAGAATTTTTACAATGTTTGCTTTAATATCCTTATCCGATAACTCCAACATTTGACTTATCTCAGTGGTGGCATTAGTAGATTCACATCAGTTGATTTCATTTTTTTATTTAAGTTGTGATTTTCTTAGTTTGTATCCTGCACATTTTGCCAATCACTTTAGGATACTTTGGGTTCTATTTAAATATATTACTTTATAGGGAGTTATTTACTTAGGTTTAGCACATGATTATTAGCCCACTTTTGTACATTTCAATGGCAGTTTGATTTTCAGAGACTTTGTGGTGTTATTTTGGTCTTTTTGATGTATTCAGTGCTACTCGGGCTTGCACAGGTCTCTGTTAATGCTGCCTGGGTAAGCGGGAGGAATTTCCTCTGGCTAAATTGCTAAATATGTCTTGGTGAGGGAAGGGTATGGAAAAATCCTTCTATTGGTACCCTTCACCTATACAGGTTTCTCTGAACCAAGGAGGGGAGTTTCAGTTCCATGGAGACAAAGTGGCTTCTGGAACCAGGCTACGAGCTACAGGGCTGCTAACTGTGACCAATCCTTTTTTTCTGGTTCTACCAGTCAGCTGTAGTGACTCTGAGCAGAGGAAGAAAGTCTTCAACTCTTGGGAACAAAGACGCTCCCCCAGCTGCTTCCCTGGGTCTCTCTTTTTGCTTCCTCCTACCTACCTCAGTCTCTCTCCATAGAAAAAAGGATTCTCTGACCCTTCAGGGAAGAAGAATGCATCCACTATCTTTGGCAAGGCTCCCAGTTGGTTCCCCCTTGCCTGAGGTTGTCAGAGGGGCTCCCACTTGATCTAGGGGGGAGGATGAGCTACTGGGATACCTTCTATTGCTAGGTGGGAAGTCAGAAAATATCAGATCTGGGCAGCTATCTTCTGTTGATTGGGGGACACAAGATGACCTACCTCTGTATAGTTCCTCTGGTCCTGGTTATCCAAACCAGCTTGCTTTCTTTTTAGCACAATTCAGAGTTTCCTTTGCTTGTTTCTTGTATTATTTCCAGGGTTTATAAAGTTGTGCTTAGCAAGAAGGAGCAGGGAAAAAGACCTATGCCATCTTGCCCCGACCAGAAGGCCCTCACCTACAGTACTTTATTTATTTATTATCTATTAAAATTTTATTTTTTCTGCTAATTTAGACTCAATTACATTATGGAAATAAAAAGTCCCAAGGAAACATTTATTTGCACAAAGCAGGCATTTAACCTATTTTTCCCAACATATAACTAATGAGGCTAGGGGGGAAATGGACTTGTCAACACAATAGGATCTGAATTGAGCTTGGGGCCATACACATAAAGATACTATTGAGGAACACACACACAAACTACAACCCACCTCTTCATAGGCCACCTCCTTCCAGTCTCCTCAAGGAGGATCTCTACATGAGGCACAAATGGATTCATGAAGCTACCAAGGGAGCTGGGTAAAATAGGAGAGAGTGGTAGACCTTATTATAGGGAAGGAATAGCCCCATCCTTCAGGGGCTCTGAGCGGCAAAACTTGCCTGAAAGTTTTTGCTTGGAAAAGCTGAGTGGAGCCAGGAGAAAAGTAGCTCCAAATTACCCAGGTTGGCCTGGCTCTTCTCTGAGCTTTGGTCAGGAAGAAGGCTTACTCCAGTCAAATGTACCAAAGTAAATATTTATTTGGGGCAGAATCCTCAGGCCAGTATATTTTATTTCTTTCTTATTTATATACTGTTGTTTCCAAGAAACATTTAAAGTTATTTTAATGGATACATACCATATACAGAAATATAAATTACATATAAGCAAAAAATTGAAAAAGAGAAAAACAAGGAACCAGAGTAAAGCTGGTGCAAAACTGCTCCCTGTGATTTTCTACACTTGTAATAAATATCTTGTAGGAAAGCACATTGCTGGAGTATTTCTTGTGCCATCTCTTACTGGGTCCTCAGGGGCACTTTGGACCAGGCATGGGGACAGCAACGTGGATTCCTAACATGGAGGGACCCCTCTGGATATGCTATAAAGTAAGGTAAGTTCCCATGAATCTTACCCTATAGTACCCCATAGATTTCCTGCTCCTGAAACATACTTGATTTTTTTCTTAAAGATTCCTGACTTCTCGCTTTGAGAATAATCATGGTTCTGAGCAGTGAAGCCTAGTAGAAGACTCATGCTACTAAGTTCTTGAGGAATCACATCAAATTTGGGTTCATTACAAGTCAGAGACTATCTGGCTGTGCACAAAATGTGAACCAAGGCTAAAACTAATTCATTAATTCCTAAAACTCTTGTTTTTAAAATTCTTCTTTTTGATTCTCAGAATCTAAACACAAAACTTGTTAGATACAGACTTGCAGGGTCCTTCCCAAGTCACCTGGAAGTCTTGATGATGCTGATGACATCCAGGAGCTGAGAAGCAGCCACAGAAGTGGTGCTGTGCCCGGTGACTAAATGACCACACTCCTTCCACTATGGGAGCTGTCTCTCTCCTGAGGAATAGAACACAAGAACATCCAGTCAGCTGGGCTCTGTTGTCTATGCATACAATACACAAGGTGTGCTTGATTCAGGTGCAAATCTTAGGTGAGTAGTGGCTACTAGGACAGCAGTTATGAATCCAAAAATTATTTTTAAACTCTTCATAGTCAGTCTCTCCCCCTAGGTTAGGTTTCTTTTCCTTCCCATCTTTCCTGAGCCTCCCCCAAACATCTTCAATTTTCAAAAATTTCTTACAGTATCATTCACTCTGCCTTTTGCTGATTTTTAACATCTTTGAGCCCCCTTAGACTGGAAAAAGAAAAGGTACCCTGTTTGATTCATCATTCTCTCTACCATTCATTCATAAAGCCATGGCCCAGTTCTCCTTTTCCTGTTTACATTCTCCTAAACTATCCCTTCTCAGCCCTCATCTTAAAAGTTTAGCTTCATATTTTAGTATTTCTCTGAAGTTATTTTTCAAAGATCACTAATTATCTCTTCCTGACCAAATTCAGTCACTTTTCTTTAGACATTATTCCACTTGGTCTTTTGGCTTTTTCAGCTTGCTTCATGAAGGCAAGGGCTATGGTTTACATTCCTTATATTTCTTTAACTTTGTATTGGAAGGGGCTGCTTTATTTAGGGTTTGAATATCTACAGCTGCAGTCCATGAATGTGACCTTTCTTATTTGAAATGACAAGATAAGGTATCTGTCCCAAAACATATTATTCAAAATGTATCATATATGTATGTATATTCATGTTGCTACTTTAAAATTTTTTGTGTGTTTCCATTTGTCAGGAAAGTGAGTTTTAGGGCATGGGATTTCTAATCAAAAAGTTATGCGATGAATACTCTCTAACACAAAGGAAAGCAACAAAATGGGGCAGAAGGAACTTACTCAGGGCTTGCTGAAGAAAAACCTAGACATTTTCAAGGATAGACATTTTACTGAAAGGAGAAGATGAAGTATATCCTGATCTAAAAATATATATTTTTTATTAAGCCAGAGTCAAGAAAAGAGAAAAACAATCCTGGACACTCTACAAAAAATTTGAGTTTAGCTTGGAGAGGAAAGAATGCAGTAGTTTTCTCTTAGAACAGATATTAGAACAGTTATGTACAGACCAAGTTCAGAACAAATCAGAAATAGCTTAAAAGTCTTTTCTCAGAGGGCATGATGGGAAAGAAAGGCGACTGATTTGAAGGAGGCCAGAAATATAGGGACCACTTAGCCTGAAACCACTGAGGTTTAAAACTTGGTGTAACTGCTTCTATTTCTGAGGTTGTAGCCTTTGATGGAGTGAAAAGACCAAAGACCTAAATTAGAAGATCTTGGCTAGTGTCCTAGTTCTGGAGTCAAATGGGAGATTCCTCAACATAACTTCCATTTTCTCATGGGCACTTTTCAGAAAACAGTTCTTAGCTATTTGGCATTCTCCTGAGATCATTTACATGGAAGCCCTTTTCTTTTTAAAAAACATTATTCTTGAGAGTGAAGATCCCACGTGAGCTAAAAGATTTTTTGATTCATATCTCTCTGAATATTTAATAAAGTATTTTAAGAAACATTTTGCAAAGAGTTATGGTAAAGCTATAGCTGCTGAAAGCCTGATTTAAAAAATAGTAATAGGCTTCTGGCCAAGATGGAGGTATAGGCAGGTAGGCATAGCAAGGCAGGTGTAAGTATAGGTATGCTTTGCTTCCTCACACAACCAAAAGAAGGATAACAACAAATTTAAAAACAAAAAACAACTAAAACTGCCAGAAAATAAAATTGTATGGAATTCTGACAACCAATGAGTTAAAGAAACATTCGTCCAGACCGGTAGGAAAGAAGGAGACAGGCAACTGGGCTGCGAGAATGAGCAATAAGGCAGCACTTGGAGGACTGGGGCAGGCAAGGCATGAGGTGGCAGACTGGAATATCCCACATTCATGTGCGGATAAACCAGAAAAATCAGGAGGAACAACTGGGGGATGAGACAGACTGTGCAACCCAGGGTTCCAGCACAGGAAACTAAAGTCTAAAACCTCTGGCTGTGAAAACCTGTGGGGATTGCAGCAGTGGGAGAGCCTCCCAGTCTCACAGGAGAGTTCATTAGAGGGCCCCACAGGGTCCTAGAGCATACACAAACCCACCCACCCCAGCATTAGCACCTGAAAGGGTACAATCTACTTGTGGGAAGTGAGAGAAGTGACTGAAAGTGGGGCAAGAGCCAAGCAAGCAGCATCGTTCTCTCTCTGAACCCTCCCCCCCACATACAGTACCACAAGGCAGTGAAGTGGGCTGCCCTACCCTGGCAGATACCTAAGGCCCCGCCCCTTACAATGTAACAGGTGCACTGAGACAAAGAAATATGTCCCAAATGAAAGAACAGATCAAAACCCCAGAAAAAGAACTAAGCGACAAGAAGATAGCCAACCTCTCCAATGCAGAGTTCAAAATACTGGTATCCACTATGCTCACAGAAATGATCGGGTATGGTCACAAAATGGAGGAAAAAGAGAAGGTCATGCCAAGTGAAATAAAGAAAAATATACAGGAAACCAAAAGTGAAGGGTAGAAAACTGGGATTCAAATCAACGATTTGGAACAAAAGGAAGAAAATAAACATCCAACCAGAACAAAGAAACAGGAATTCAAAAAAAAGAGGAGAGGCTTAGGATCCTATAGGACAACTTTAAACGTTCCAACATCCAAATCATAGGGGTGCCAGAAGAAGAAGTAGAAGAGTAAGAAATTGAAAACTTATTTTAAAAAATAATTAAAGAAAAATTCCCCAATCTGGTGAAAGAACAAGACATGCACGTCCAGGAAGCTCAGAGAGTCCCAAAGAAGTTGGACCCAAGGAAGCACACACCAAGGCACATCATAATTACATTACCCAAGATTAAAGATGAGGAGAGAATGTTAAAAGCAGCAAGAGGAAAGCAGACAGTTGTCTACAAAGGAGTGTCCATAAGACTATCAGCTGATTTCTTAAAAGAAACCTTACAGGCAAGAAGAGGCTGGAAAGAAGTATTCAAAGTCATGAAAAGCAAGGACCTACATCCAAGATTACTCTATTCAACAAAGCTATCATTTAGAATGGAAGGGCAGGTAAAGTGCTTCCCAGATAAGGAAAAGTTAAAGGAGTTCATCATGACCAAACCCTTATTATGTGAAATGTTAAAGGGACTTATCTAAGAAAAAGAAGATCAAAACTATGAACAGTAAAATGACAACAAACTCACAACTACCAACAACTGAACCTAAAAACAAACTAAACACCTGGAACAGGAACAGAATCACAGAAATGCAGATCACATTGAGGGTTATCCGTGGGGAGGGGGCACGGGGAGAATGGGAGTGAGATACAGGGAATAAGAGCATAATTGGTAGGAACAAAATAGACAGGGGGAGGTTAAGAATAGTATAGGAAATGGAGAAGCCAAAAATGTATATATACAACCCACGGACATGAACTAAGGGGGAGTGAATCATGGAGGGAGGAGTGGTGCAGGATGGAGGGGGTAAAGGGAGGAAAAAAGGTGACAACTGTAATAGCATTATCAATAAAATATACTTAGAAAGAAAATAGTAATAAATCTTATCCACTCAAGGGTTAAACAAAATTCAAGTAATACATAATCAAAGATCACCACCTAGTGGCCCAAGTGTTTTATAACTTCTGAAGTTAGCTGCAAGTGCCAAAGACTTCAGAGGCTAAGGTGGTGTGTGGGAAGCATCCCAGTCCCACCAAGTAGAGGAGAAAAAGAGTAAGACTTTGGCCTCACTACAGGCATTCAAAATTCAAATTACACACAAAGCACTATGTCCTTCTAACCAACCAATCTTCCAAATCAAGTTTTGGTACTGGGCCTCTGGTCACTCAGAATATGAATCCACAGTTGAATGTGATTGAAGTAAAGTGATAGCTCTTTGGGAGATAAGCTCAGAGACATCCGAAACAATGAAGGCTTTACAAATTATATTCAGTGAAATCTTTGCCTCTCACCAGCCACTTTACAATAAAAGATATGGTTTACTTGTGGCAGAATTATTGGTATGTACCTCTGTATGATAAAGGAAGCTGTCAGAAAATGAAGAAATAAAATAACCAGAAAACAGCTTTGCCTCACATAGCATGATTGAGAATCAGAGAACTGTTCAAATTCTGGCTTCACTCCTTGTTGACAATATGACTTTGGACATGTTCCTTAATCTCACTGAGCCTCATATGGCTGTTAAAAAGATTATATGAAATAAGGCTTGCAAAGGGCTTAACTCAGTGTCTGGAACATAATTGGTGTTCCTTTCACCCTTCTCTAACTTAAAAGAAAACACATAATTTAACTTAAAGGAAAGAAAATAAAGACAAGAAGGAAATTAAAAAATGGGGTTTGGGTTGAGGCCCAAAGCTGGCTTTTGAATTGCATTTCTCTACCCTGGCTGGTGTGGCTCAGTGGATTGAGCGCTGGCCTGTGAGCCAAAGGCCCAGTTCGATTCCCAGTCAGGGCACATGCCTGGATGGCAGCCCAGGTCCCCAGTAGGGGGCATGCAAGATGCAACCACATATTGATGTTTCTCTCCCTCTCTGTCTCTCTCCTCTCCCCTCTTTCCAGAAATAAATAAAAACAAATAAATTGCAGTTCTCTGTTAAAATGAAGTTAAGAGACAGTTTAGTCACTATACAATTAAAGTAAGAGCAGTTTTCCCACATCTAACCGATTCTGTGCTTTCTCTCAGGATGTAATTTTCTTACTGGTAACACAGGGGGAAGAGTTGTACCCACGGTAAAATAAGTCAATAGTACAAATCTCACTGAGTCTTAAGAGGATTAAATGAGGTGTAGCATAAATGTCCATAGCTCAGTACCACTTAGGATACTACTAATTTTCATTATTACTGGTTTTTGCCTCTCTCGTGGGACATCTGTGAGAATATGATATAATTGTCATTGATTGTTTCAGAAACGCCTACAGGCCTTTGCTGTTGCCTTCATAACTTACTCTCTCACCAAGGTGCTTCCCTAGAAAGACCACCAGCACTGTGGCTCTCATAGGTGCCTGTTCCTTTGTATATACTCTGTGTATCTGATTTGTATACAAATTACAGCAGAATCTGCATTTCCAAATGTGAGTTGTATACTTCAAAGTGTGTAAGACTGAGATTCTTATTCCCATAATATCCCTCCCCCAACCAGGAACTGCTCTCAGAGCTACATGTCCCATTATCTCAACAGAATCAAAACAGAAAAAGGATTCTGGACAAACAGAGAAATAGATTTTTGTAGGTAGGTTGTAAGTTGGCTCTGAAGGTAGTTCATAAATATTTTTTGAGTAGTGACAGCATAACTTTGCAAAGTGAAAATTTTAAAAGAATACCATTGCCCTGACCAGTGTGGCTCAGTTGCTCACTTGCATCATCTGGCAAAGCAACGGCTGCCAGTTCAGTCCTGGTCAGGGCACATACCTAGGTGTGCGGTTTCAGTCTCTGGTTGGGGCACATAGGAAAGGCAACCAATCGATATTTCTGTCTCACATCGATGTCTCTCTCCCTCTCTCTCTCTCCCTGCCCCTCTCCCTAAAAATAAATAAATAAAACCTGCAAAAGAATACCATCATTTGGGTATATTAATTATAAAATTATTTTTAAAGTTCCATCTTTAAAAATAACAAAAGGTCTCTATTCAGAGGCCCTATCAGAGGCCCAAAAGCCTACACCGCTCTCAGCATTCCTTTCAGGCTGGTAAGCTGACTTGCACTCAGTGATAACCTTGCCTGTTTACAGAATCCTGAAATCTTGACCCACATTTGGCCTTTTTTCTTATTTTAATCAGTTCAACGATCCTTTCCTATGAAGGGGGTGAGGGTTTCAGGGGACCTCATCTTTGACTACAACAGGGTCTTGCACACTGACTTGAAGTACCCAGAAGTGGCACATACATCCTCTGTCAGACCATGTGTTCTAATTTGGGGTATGGAAATACAGTTGCTAAGTAAAGCAAAGCAGCTGTGACAGGAAGTAAAGCTTTAGCCATCAAGACCAGTGTTCAAGTCCTAGCACCACTACTCACTTGGTGCTTAATTATTCTAAGCCTCATTTCCTCATCTATGAAATGGAAGAACCTGAGGATGAGAAAGCCTTTTGTAAGCATCCAGCACCTCACTTGCCCTCCGCACTCACGAGGAACCTTCTAGCTCTATAAGAGGTGACTCTCCAAGTCGCAGGGCTAGCTGTACAAAACAGGGAAGGAGTACCCTCAGTGGTAGCATGTGAGGTGGCCTTGTCAGCCGGGGACAGGGTCCTTTCTGCCCGTGCCCTACCCTCAGTAGGATGTCCCAGGCTCACCGAGGGCCTCTCCACATTCCCTTTTTTCCTGCTATTCTTGCCTGGGATGACATCCAGTGAGCGGTAGCTGGGTGGCTTCTCCTCAGGCCAGGATGGGGAGTGGGGGCGGTGGCGGTGGGCCCCCCAGCTCCGGGGTTGCCTCTCCTTCTCCTCCTCAGAGCTCCAAGAACTGAGCCCTGAGGGCAGGGGAGGGGAGTAGCTGCGGTGCCTGCGCCTCTGGTGCCTGTGGGCGCTCTCCCGCGGGCTGGGCCTACGGGGCCTCTCTGGGTGGCGGCTCCGGAGAGGCAGGTGGTTGAGCCACTGCCAGCGGTCCTCGCTGGATGAAGGGCCATCACTGAGGCTGTCCCTGTCTGACCAGGGCATGGGTGATGTGTTCAGCCTGGAGCTGCGGTGCCTTCCTCCGCGAAGTTGGTCCTGCTCCCTTCGCTCCAATGCCCAGCGCTTAGGCTCCCGGTCCTGGAGCTCCTGGTAGAAATCAGAGAGGTGGTGCTGCCTTCTTTCCTCACTCGGATCCCATGGTCCAGGAGAAACTGGGGGAAGCCATGGCTGGCGGGAGGAGTTGCTGGTCCTCCGAGAAGAAGGCAGGTCTCTGATCAGTGGGGGCAGGCGGATGATTCTGCGTTCCACGACCTCTGAGCCCAGGGAGGACAGCATACTGCAGGGTTGGCCAGGTATGGCTTTGAGGTCAGGGGGCAGGGGTAGGGCTGGGTTGAAATTCCGCAACTCTTTCTCCAAATACTCCAGGACACCATTGGCGATGGGAGGGTGAGCGGTGGCCTGGGTCATTGGCATCTGTGGGAGGCTGGATCGCAGGGATAAATCTGTACGAAAACAAGGATAACATGGAGAAAAGCTGGCCCACAGCATGCTCCTCAGAATCGGGACACCAAAATGCCACATCATTTAACTTGCATCCATCCCCTCCCATCCTCAATCATATAGATACCCACCATATTGGTTAAAAAGGCCTGAGGCAGCCCCTGCTCCTACCCTGGCCCTCTCCCACCCTAAACCTCCAGCAATGTTTACCTCGCTGCAGCAGTTGGTTCATTGGATAAGATGAAAACTGGGAGCTTCTGTCTGCCCCCCAGTACAGGGGTTTTTCCATCATCTGAGGGGCGAGGGCCTGAGCCTGCTTCATGTGGCGGTGGCGGGCCAGGGCTGTGGGGGGAAAGGTGAAATGCAGGCCCTCAGCCCCGGGCAAGGTCCGCGCCTCCCACTTCACTTCTCACTGTCCAGCGGCCTTGCCAAGAGGCCAGTTTCTCTCTTCAAAGTTCATTATGAACCATCTTGCAAGAGAGTTAGAGGCAAGGGAGTAGTGAATCAATTGTTCCTCTGGGAATGAACTGGGAACAAATTCCCTGCGCAAGATTGCGATTCCTATAACTCAGGTTAGTATACTCTTAAAATTGACTTCCTAATCTTGAAAATATTTCACCATCCTGCCCATTCCCAAGGCCACCTGTAATGTATAGGGATATACATAGTAATTAGCAGGCAGTGAAATCTCAGACCACAAACCAACAAGGTCTTCAGCCACAGGCCAAATATAGCCGGTACAGATGCAAAGAGTTCAGAGGGGGCTGTGAGTCAGGGACTGCCAGGGAAGCTCAGGGCTGCTTGCTCAGAGTGGAAAAAGAAAAAGAGAAGGACGTAGATGCTGAAGTCAATGGGCAGAATTACTGGTAGAGAACATTTCTAGCTAGGATGCCAGTCCCAGTAGGAGAAAACCAATGGAAGGCAGGAGAAAGCAAAAAGCTGAAGTGGATCCAGTGGACCTTTTGTACCCTTCTCCTCAACCTTAGTAAGTGCTGGGGTTTCCCCTAAGTAGGGGAAATCTCTAAGGGGTGTGGTAAGGCAGAGAAGGGACAAGGGAAATACCATTTCCTTTCAGAGCAAAAATAATAATATTAAAAATGAGCACAAGGGATCCATGGAAATGTCACTCCAGTCCCCTAGGTATAGCTGGTCTGAATCTCATAACCCATCGTGAGAGAATGTTAAAAGCATTTAGTTGTTTTTGTTCATGAATTTCTGTTTTGGGGTAATTTGGACGAGTGCCACGTCTTCCAAAGTCCATCTATCCATGCATATAGGAAGTGTACTTGTGCGTGTGAGTGCATGAAGTGCCTGCCTCAGGCTCCCAGCCTGGCACTCTCACCTCCTCCTGGGCTCCCAAGCCCTGTGACCATCCCCAATGCAGCAGGCTCTGACTGAAGCTTCCTCCTGCCACAACAAGGGGAAAAGAAGGCAGGCATTCTGGACCCAGCAGCACAGGGTGGGAGGTTTGGCGAGGCCAGCAGTTAAGGGGCCATCTGGACAGCTACCCAGAAGCTCGGCTTCTGTGTCAAACAAACTTCCAGCACAACAGGAAGTGGTTGCAGCACAGCCCCCCAAAGTGTCTGGAGCTCCAGCCCTGATGGTGAGTCATAGCCCAGCCTGGAGGAAATCTGATGCATACTTACAGCAGCTCACTCGGCTGCTATACCTTCAAGCCAATGGACAGCACTTCAGATCCTCCGAGGACAAGTCCACGTGCTCAGTACTTTTCCTTTTGCTAAGAGACATACCCCTCCCCAGCTCCCTATGTGTGCCCTCATTCGCATATATAATACTCGGCTTGATATGTGCCACTTTATGTAAGCTAACTGGTCCTCAGAGAAATCTTCAATGTGGGATCAGATGAGGAAGTTGGGCTCCTAGAGGTTATCTCCCCAGCCCACAGTCCAACAGCAGGTGACTGGCAGAGACAGGGTGTGACCCTGTGTCTGACACCCGAGTCTGCACTCTTTCTGCCAAACCACTGAGTCCCTAGACTCTTTTATTTCTGTGAGGCAAAAAAACCCTTGCTCAGCGGCACCTCCTCATTTCTCTCTAGCTCGGCTCTACACCTTTCAAAACCCACTCCAGCTTAGTATCTGCCCCCAAAGCCTAGGGCCATCTGCTTCCATTGGGAACAACCTTATACATCCCCTGCCCCTCTAATTGACTCCTGGCTTCCTACAAATGGTACCATTCTCCCTTTTGGCCACTTCCTTCGCCTATTGCCCCAACTGAATAGGAGAGAAAGGGAGCATTAGGCTTACTCCTTGCTCTCTAAATACTTTTCTTAATTTTTGTTTAATCCTTATCCGAGCATTTGTTTACTGATCTTACACAGAGAGGAAGGGAGAGGGGTGGAGGAGAGGGGAAGGGAGAGGAGAGGAGGGGGAGAGAAGGAGAGGAGAGAAGAGAAAGCATCAATCAGTTGCCTCCCCCAGGGTTCGCAACCTAGGTATGCGTCCTGACCAGGGAATAATCCTGCAAAGCTTTGCTGTACCAGAGACTCCAATCATCTGAGCCACCCTGCCAGGGCTCTCCAAATGACCTTTTAAGTTAGGTGGACTCCCTGCACAGATAACTCCCCAGAAATCCTTCCAAATCATCCATGATATTTCTGTCAAATTTTCACACATTTCAGAGAGTCACCTATTCCTTTCTTAGCTGCTACCACCTTTTTTCTCAGGGGTCCTCTCTTCCTGATGCACAGGACCTAATGACAGTGGAAAACACAGCCTCTGAGCTTCTCCCTTGCCATCCTGACCCCGGGAACAGCCCCATGGGGACATCTAGACTACCAGGGTTTTCCTCTGCTCACCTAAAGGGGACTCAGACAGGCAATAATAGAAGAAGCACAGAGAAAGTAACAAAGCTTCAAGACTCCTAGAAAGTTATCTCAGAACCCCAGTGGAGTAGAGTCTGCCTTGGTCACCATTTAATGAGCTGGTTAAAAAATACAGACTCCTGGATCCCACTTCCCAGAAACTCTCCTTCAGCCTAATAATGCAAGGCAAGAAAAATCTGTGTTTTCAACAAGTGCCCCCATTCTAATGCAGGGAGTCAAATTGGAGTTGAATATTGAGGATCCTTAAAAGCTTCTGAGAAGTATGATTCTCAGGGGTAGATTTCCTTAAATATGGCTTTGAGAGTCAGATGGACTTAACTGGAATCCCGGCATGTACTAGCTGTGTGATGTTGAGTGAGTTTTCAGAGGGTTTAAGCTAAGTCTCCTCATCTGTGAGACAGGGATGATACCTACCTCACAAGATTACTGAGGTCAAGTGAGGTAATACACATGAAGTGCCTAACATATGACAGTCAACAGACAGTGGCTCTCACTGTTTTAATAAATTGTTATAATAAGCTGCTTCTATTGCCTTAGATCCCATAGGAGACAAAAGTACCTATTTGGAGACTAAACCACCCAACACACATTCATCTCCATTTCTGAGGAAAACCTGGGGCATATTCTCTAAGATGTCTCCTTCCTGATAGAAATGACAGTCAAAACCTCCCCCTCCTCCAGAGAGCTGCGCCTCCTGTCCTCTGCAGCCTGCATCATCTGTGGCCACTGTCTGTGGTTCCCCTGAAGAGCTCCAACTGCGCTTACTTGTAGCTGCTTACCATTCCTTACCACCTCTTCTCCACTCTTACAGAATCCATTCTTTGCTCTCTTTTGACCTAGGGTCACACAGTCCTTTTGCTTTTTCCCACATGACCAGTCTCCTATGACTTGACTGGCCAGTCATTTCAGTAACATCCTCAGGAGCTTTCTAGAATCCCACACCCTTTGAACTCTTACCAACTCAGCTTTAGGGAACCACCAGCACATGCTTTCTGGCCACACACTGCTAGAGCTGACTGCACTGTTAAGCAACTGACCTCAAATAGCCCTCCTCCCAACCTGACTTTCCCTGACTGATCTGTCTACCCTGCTTCCCTCATCTGGAGTAGCAGTTTAAACATACTCCACTTCCCAAGTCTTCCCCTCCTCATGAATTTTCAGCCGATTATATCATCTTTGTTGAGGAAGAGGAACCAGCCCTGGGTCAGGAATCAAGATACCTAGTTCTAGTCCAGCTTCCACCACAAATAAACTGTGTATAGTTGTGAGAAAGTCTCACTAGGCCTCATATCCCTCACCTATAAGGAGGATGGGGTAGTGCATGGCATAGAACCGAGATTCCAGTATGGTCTGTGGCCTATTGAAAGGTGTGCCTAGAGCTTCTGTGGGGAGGAGGCCAGTAAATGATCTAGGGATGAAAGTTGTTTCCCTGATTCTCACAGAAAAAAATAAGGTTCCATTTTAATAACTTTCATCTTTAAGTTTTATTGTGGGTTGTTTACTAGGACTAAGTAAACTATCAAAAGTTACTGAAATGTGTCCTGACTAGTGTGGCTCATTGGATTAGGTGTTATCCTGCAAAGCAAAAGGTCAAGGTTCAATTCCCAAGGTTCAGTCAGGGCAAATGCCTGGGTTGCAGGTTTGGTCCCCAGCTGGGGTGCATACAAGAGATAACCAATTGATGTTTCTCTCTCGCATTGGTGTCTCTCTCCTTCTTTCTTTCCCTCCCTTCCTCTTTCTCTAAAAATAAATAAATAAAATATTTTTAAAAAGTTACTGAAATGTGGCGTCATTTTCATTTTTCTCCTCTCTGGTCCTCTATTAACTCTCACTAGAAATTGGGAGCAGGTTAGGGAGGTTGGCTGTGGTCAGAGAAATTCAAGAGCCACTGACATCATTCTTAAAGCTCTCTTCTGTGTCTAGAATTTTGATTTCTCCAGTGCGAGCTGCCTCAGCTTCTTCCCTTATATTTTAATCCTTGTCTATATTATAATGACTTCCTAGCTCTTTTCAGCAGTCAGGCTGCCTTCCCATTCTTTTCTAAAGGTAGTCGTTCCACTGAAAGGCTGATGTCATTCCCATTGGCTCTATCACTCCTCAGTGATCACCTCACTTTACTGATTTTCCATAGGCCTCGGTTCTTTGCCTACAAATATGCTTACGGTTATTTTATTCCAAAACAAAACAAAAAAAAACACCAGTCACACACACACACACACCGCCCCGCCCCCCCTTCTCTATCCAAGAGCTTCCTAACAGTTTATGCCCCCTCCTCTCATCACCAAACTTCTCAGGACAGTGACTCACTTCGGAAGTGACCTCATCTGCTCCAGTGTAGGGACCTTTATTTGTGGACTGCATTTCTTGACTTTACCATTTCTTCTAAATGAACTCTAACCACTTAGGAGGAACTATTCTCCCCCAGAACCTGTTTATCAGCTGACTCACAGTGGGTACAATTATCATTTGTGGAGGGTTTGCCCCCAGTGCTACCTGTTATGAGTGTCTCTCTGATTTAGGGATTCTAAGAAGGCATTTAAGAGGGTTTTTCTCACCTCTTCCTGCATAGTACTAGTCCGGTGACAGTGACTTCTCCATGGCGTTTCCCCCAGGGGCCCCTTAAAGGTAGGGAGCATCACAGCCCAACACTGAGTTCTCTGCTTTTTTACCTCTTTTTGTGGAGTTTATTGGTATCATAGCCAATCCATTCTGATCTACACATAGAGGTTGTGGCAACCTCTACCGTGGAAAATTCAGGCTCTAATAAGTCAGATAAACATGGATTAAACACTGTACTTCTGCTGCTGCTTATTAACTGAGTGACCTCTCTGACCTTCAGTCTTCTTATCTGTTAAAAAGTGCCTTCTAGGGTTGTAAAGATTCAATGGGGAAATATATGCAAGGGGCCTACAAAGAGCAAGCATCCAATAAAAAAGTTAGTTCTCTTTTCCTATAAGACAGCAACCTCAGAACATAGGCCTGAAACCAGACTTAGACCATTGACCTTCTTGACACTGTAGATTAGGTTTTGTTTCCATCTTAAGAGGCAATTCCTTATATTCCCCTATAAAAAAATTCCTTCTGAAATGGACCAAAATGATAAGAGTGGTCATCTTTGGGTGCTAAGATTAGTCTTCACATATTCCAGAATTTCTCAAATTTTCTGCAATGTAATACTTATGTCATCAGGAAAAGGAAATGCTTTTGTTACTTTAGAAACACAAATACCCTTTCCATTAAAAGGAGTTAATTCCAATCCAGCTATTTACTAAGAAAAAAATTATTGTACAATAATTTATTATTTTTTTATCTCCACCACGCATTCTGCAGCTATATTGTTTAGGGCATGTCATAATTCTGTTTTAAAAGTCAAATTTCCACCCTGATTGGTGTGGCTCAGTGGCTTGGGCATCATGCCCCAGGCCAAATGGTTGCTGGTTTGGATTCCAGTTGGGGCGCATGCCTGAGATGCGGGCGGATCCTAGACTGGGGGTATGCAGGAGGTGACTGATTGATGTTTCTCTCCCTCACTTTCTCTCTCCTTTCTCTTCTCTCTAAAAATAAATAAATATTTTTTGTAAAGTCAAATTTCATCCCCCCAAAAGATCACATTAAGAGCAAGATATTCTTCTGCTCCCTCTTCCCTTCCCCTAATACAGAGATTCACAAAGTTCAGCCCCAGGCCAGCGGCATCCCATCACCTGGGAACTTTTGATAAATGCAAATTCTCAGGCCCACCCCAGGCCAATTAAATCAGGAACTCCAGAGGTGAGGCCAGCGATTAAGCTGTAACAAGCCCTCTAAAGGATTCTTAAGTTTGAGAACCACTGTTCTAAAACCTCTTTCCTTTAATCTGTTCCTTTCAAGTCATCTCTAAGGAGTGGACTCCTCTCTTACTTTTCTTTCATTTTTTCCCTCCCTCCCTCCTTCCTTCCCTCCCCTCTTCCTTCCCTCCTCTCATGGTCAAGCAAGGTCAGTGCCAGGAGCAGACAGTGGAGCATGGGGATATCAGAGACGCTGAGGAAATGCCATCAGTAGGCAGAACCATCTGAAAGAGGCCTTAAGCAGGCTAGCATAAGGCCAAGAAAAAGTCCTCTCACTTGACTCCGTAGCTTGCCCAAGCATCATTTTCTGAGCTGAGACCAAATATCCCCTGAATCTGTGATGGGAGAAGGTCATGCATGAAAACTTGGAAGAGCACAAGGTTTTGAAGCTGATCTGTTTGAGGCACCAGGCACCAGCAGCACCCCAGCTCACTGTTTGTCCAGCTCCTCTCACCTTCCTCGGGGCAGCAGCAGCGGTTGGGACAGCAGGGGCAGCGGATGTAGCAGCAGCAATACTGAGGACAGCACTGGCACCAGCACACTCCAATCAGCAGGAGCAGGAGAAGGGCTCCCAGAATGATGAAGATCACTGTCAGCCAGTCTGCAGAGGAGAAGCCCAACAGGGGTTGAACTAAATTTTTAGAGGCATGTTGCTAGTTCTAATACCCTAGAGGTCTCATAAATACAGCTTTTGACATACAGGTTAAGATTGAGCAATATACTGGGGAAAAACAACAGCAAAAAAATGCTTAGCTTTGGTAAGGGAACTTCAGAGGTTGGCAAGCCAAACAATAATTTGGGCTTGCTTGTTTCTGTTTTTTGTTTTTTGTTTCTTTTTTCCTATATGAAAAAAAAATGTGTCAGGATGGGGTGGAAAAATAAAAAGTTCCTGCAGCACTTACGCAGGACAATGAGCTTCACCTCCTTATCTGGGTCACCTGATGTGTCCCCTGGAGCCTCAATGGTGCAATAATACACTCCATGGTCCCACCACATCACTTCATTAATCACAAGATCTGCTCCTGCAAGAAAGAAGGGAGAAAGTGCCACTGATTAAAGGAGAGGGAAATGCTTTCTGACCTATGATAGCATCAAGACCCTAGCATTGTCCTTCCACATTCTAAGAGAGCACCACATAGTTCAGAGAAAAACCTTAATTCCTTCTATTGGGACTCTCCTCTTTTTCCAGGCAGTACAATAGTGCTTGGAAACTGATCATTCATTGAACCCTATGAAGTACCTTGTATCTTGAAAGGATTTGGATGCATCACCTCATTTAATTCCCACCACAACTCTCTAAGTGCGTGTGGTAGAGATTACCACTTGTCTCCCAGTGTCTATTCTCCCTTTCTTTCATAGTCATAGGATTTTGGGCCATGTATATGGCCATCCAGAATAAAGTCAATATTTCCCATTCTCCCTTACTGAGGGGCATGGAGATGTGACTCAGTTCTGGTAGATGGAATGTAAGCAGAAGTGTTACATGATGACTCTCAAGAACTTTCTTAAAAACAGTCTGGGAACCCCTTTGCCCTTTTGTTCTTCATTTTTTCTTCTACTCTCTTATCAGGAAAGCAACTGTGATGGCTGTGATCTTGGACCCTGAGGAAGAAGATGATATTCTTGGTAAGCTGAAAGGAGCCTTGGGTCCCTGCAGATTTAAAGGAAGAGAGCCACCATACTAGTTCTGGACTGTCCACCTTTATTTTTTTTTAAATATTTTATTTATTTATTTTTAGAGAATGGAAGGGAGGGAACAAGAGAGGGAGAGAAACATCAATGTGTGGTTGCATTTCGCACACCCCCTACTGGGGACCTGGCCTGCAACCTATGTGCCCTACACTGGAAATCGAACCAGCGACCCTTTGGTTCACAGGCCAGTGCTCAATCCACTGAGCCACACCAGCTAGGGTTCTACCCTTAAATTTATACATAAGAAGAAATAAACCTTAGTTTTTAAGTCACTAATATTTTGGGCTTTTGCTTACAATCAAACTTAATCTTGACACAGTGGATACAATTATTAACTACATTTCAGATGAAGAAACTGAGGCTTAGCAGGTGTTGGCCTTCTCCAGGAGGCTAAGAAACTGGCCTAACAACAGAGAGATGATGCTTAGCAGGGGTAGCTTCAAGCCCCTGCCTCACCTCTGACGTTCTTAACCACTGAGCTCTAATGTCCTCTCCAAATGAGATAGAAAATTCCACAGCCTGGATCCCTTGCCAGCTCCAAAGAGATATCTCTAAATCTTGAAAGGATATCTTATGAGATAAGCCTGAATACAAGGGATGCAATGCCAATATTTTAAGAGTAAATGTTACTCAAAAAAAGAATTTTCATTCTCGTGAGTACCAAGTGCTATGTTACCCCCTAAGGTGGATGAATGGTACATTCAAGATTAGCAAATACCACAAAAGCTCACTAAAGACCTTCTGTGGGTCCGGCACTATGTCAGACACTGTGGAAGTTCTCAAAGGGGAAATGTGGGAGATCTGAAGAGGAATAAGGCCTATCACTGTCCTAAATGGGTTTAAATTTCACTCAGAGGCATCAGGGCAGCTTCCATGTCCCCATTATTTTAGCCACGGTAAGTGTCAGGGGACATCTTCAAATTCTTCAAGACCTTAGCATTACAGACTTGCTCCTGTTTAGTTGAGTCACAGCTACAATTCTTTTTTTTTTAATTTTTAATTAAAATATAGTTGGCATAAAATATTATATTAGTTTCAGGTGTATGGCAGTGATTCAACATTTATTTATACACCATATGAAGTCATCACCATGATAAATCCAGTAACCATGTTTATCTGCAATTCTTTATTATTTGTTTTGTCCAGAAATATTTATTGAGGAAATGAAACAAAAATGTGAGGTAATGCAAAACTGGAGCTAACTTTGACTTCTGTTTCCTTCTCTTTCTACGTCAATCCCTACAATTTTTTCCTACCCATGATTTTCCAAACCTACTACTTTTCTCAGAAACAAGCTTACCACAGATTTGGAAGAATGGTGAAAACGCTTTGGGGGAAATTCCCCCTCAAAGGTTAATACATATTATAAATCTGCCCCAATTTTTATTAGCAACATAAGGATTACTTATGGATGTCAGAGTAATGAGAATATCTAAATATGTTAACATTTTAAATTATCCAGGAACTGATTTGACAGGGTCATCTCAAATGGTGCAGACATGGGCATAAAAATATCAGAAAACAAGGGCTCCAGATGTCACAAGCCTAAAGGTAAAAATAAAAGCCAAGGGGAAATACCACTTTCCCAAGGGAATAAGAAAGAGTCAGAGTCTGATCCAAAGTGTTTCGTTGGGAGTGGAGGTGGTAGACAACACTGCTCAAAATTAGAAAAGAAAAAAAAAAGCACAATAAAGTAGTGACTATCACCTATGGGGACTTTCAACCTTCAAAAACTGTAAAGGAGACTCACTAATTAAAGAGGCTTTAAACTTGAGTCATAGCAAAGCTAATTCCACGGGCTCTGGAGAAAGTGGAACCACCCTGAATCTTTGAGAATGCCCCTGAAGGCTAGAAAAGGACAGATGTTCCCTAAGGCCAGGAGTTCAAGCACTGCTTAGGGAAATCAGAGGTTGAATGTAAAAGGATCACACCTAAGTCAAAATATTAGAAACAAAGTTGAAAGGCAATTGTTAAACTGCCTCTCTTTATTTTATTATTATTATTTTTAAATCCTGACCCAAGGACATTTTTTTCCCCATTGCTTTTAGAGAGAGGGGAGAGGAGAAGAAGAATGAGAAAGAAACATTGATTCTAGATAGAAGCATTGATTGGTTGCCATATATGCCCAGACTGGGGATCGAACCTGCAACCCAGGTATGTGTCGTGACTGGGAATTGAACCTGCAACCCTTACAGGATGACAATCCAGCCAAATGAGCCACACTAGACAGGGCAAATTGGCTCCCCTTAAATGATATACTTCTAAATGGTCACAGAACATGAACTGATTTCTTCACATTGTTGCTATGGGTATCCTGAGTGGCCTGCTGGGTGTATAACCTCTATCCTTTTTTTCCTTTAAACCAGCAAATGTTTATTTAACACAGCACACAAAGCTCACTGAAATAGGCTCTGAATTTTGTGCCAATAAACCATCACACTAATCCTGGATTACAAGATAGGAATGTGGAGTGCTAACCCATCCACCCAAAAGTATGCTGAGTGATCATAACTGAAGTTCACTGCACCATTACTGTTTACTAAATGCTTTTTGCATACCGTCTCACTTAATCCTGACAACTCCCCAGGTACCACTGGCAAGTTTCACTTTATAGAAATTGAGGCCAAAAAAACTGAAGGGACTTGCCCAAGTTCATATACCCCATAAGTGCAGAATGAGCACTAACACCTGAATCCGATCACCACTCCCTGTACTGGGCACAAGGAATAGATATATGCTTTAGATATGGCTCTCGGATACCACATTTGATATTCACTTCAGTGTGGGGATACAGAGACCATTATGCTCATCTTTCAGATGAGGTAACAGGAACTAGAGAAGATATCTGCCACTGGTCACTGAGTCAGCATGTGGAAGTAATGGGACACTCAGCCAGGTGTTTTGATTCTAAGCCCCATGCTCTTTTCTGTATCAATGGAGGGTGTTGAACTCAAGGTGGTCAAGTACTTGGAAGTCTCTGTTTCCTTAGATACATGTAACAGGCATGACCAGAGGGAAACTCAGGAGCCTGGGTTCCAGGAGGCTCTGAGAGCAATTCATAGAAAGGATCAAAGGAGCCTCATCCACACCTTAGCCCCGAATCTCAGGGAAGCAAAGGAAACCATCCACTCCCAGACCTTTAGCCAAAGCTCATCCAGAGACCAACTTCCAGGGAAGTGACTTCAGATGATGCAGCACATTCTGTATATCTGGCTTTTTACTCAAACAATAGCAGGGACCAAGGAGGTCGCCAGGCAGCGGAGAAAAAGGGAAATCCCCACAATGACTCAGCCTGGTGTTTGCACCTCTGCCATCCTCAGTGCCCTGCCGCCCCCACCCCCCATCCCCCCATCCCCCCACTCACGGTTCTGGATGGTGATCTTGCGCTGCCGGTAATCTACCCCCAGCACAGGCTCATTCTGACCCCGCCTCTGGGCCACGATGCGAACCTCCCGCTGGCTGTCATTGCAGTCATTGGAAGGGTCTTGGCCCAGGGACAAAGCTGCCTGGTATGCTGAGGAAAGAGGACACACCCAAGTCACACAGCAGTGGGGAATTCTCAGGAAGAATGGTGCCCTTACTGTGAGCCTCTGTATCCCCAGGGAGTTTTGTTAAACATGAAAATTCTGATTCTTTAGGCCTGGAGTGAGAAGCAGAAATTCTGCATTTCTAATGAGCTCCCAAGTGATACCAATGAGATACACCTTGAGCTGTGAGACTCCAGACCCATCCAATAGGCCACCATTTCCAAATCCTGGCTGCATCCCCTTGTCTCCCAACCCAACTTCCCACGTCTTGTTCCCGGACTCTGCTCCCCCAGGGTTCATCCATCTGCCCTTATAGTACAAGGTTTGAGAGCTGTTAAATCTGCTGGGGCAAACATCTACTACCCTTGTCTCTCCTTCCTCCCCACTTAACCCAGGCATTTTAAAAGGAATCCCCAGGAAACAGTGCCACAATTTAGGGAGGGAGGGGTTTTTTGTGGGGACATCAGACTCCGTGGGTAGCTCAGACAGTTAGGTTTTGGGGTTTATATTGTGAGACATTAGTAGGACTAAAAGAAGTAAAGTTGATGCCTTGCCCTCCTTTTTTTCATCTCAGGAAGCTCACTTCCTGCCTACAAGCAGGGTGTTCACTTCTTTTCCCAAAATTTCCACAAGATTAATTTTCCTGGGATGACAGTGGGTATCTAGGTTCCTTTGTTCCCTGAGAGAGGCAGGGTGGGCAGCTAAGAAGACACCAGAACTGACATGAGCAGGGCAACTGTTACTTAGAGATATGATTTGGCTAAACATAGGGGGAGTTTTGCATCTCAGAAATGTCAAACAAAAAATGTGCTCCCCGTGGTGGGGTGGGGGGATGGGCAATGAGCTCTGCAACAGTGAGTGGTTAGTCAGTAGAGGAATGACTATCTACCAGGAAGGCTGGCCATAGAGTTGAACATGGCAGTGGGCTCAATGTTCACAAATGATCATTCCTCATGCATCCTGAGAGGTATAGGAATCTTCTTGTCAGCATTCTAAGGGTGGGGGTGATCGCAGGCAGATCTGCATCCCCATCTCAGTGTGCTGGCATGGACTAGGAGGCAGAACTTACTCTGCCTTTTACTTGATGCCTGAGCTGCTTTAAATCTTTTTAGAACAAGGTGGGACATAGATTTGTAAATAAATAAAATAGTATGTGACCTTCAATAAGTTATATCATCTGCCTGGGCTCAGTTTTCTTATTTATAAGATGAGGAGACTAGATTAAGTGATCTTTGGGGCTTCTTCTACTTACGAGGATTTGTGATCCTAAATAATTCCTATACCATAACAGCAATACTTCAGACAGGGACCCGGGCAGAGCCAGAGGGGAGGGCACTCACACGCAGAGTAGTAGTCAAAGATGGGATCCTTGCAGAAGGACTTGAAGCGCCAAGTCACTACCACGTCCTGGAGCTGGGCAGAGGTGGTGTAGTCACATTTGAGGACGACGGAGGCAAACAGGGTGACATAGCGCTCTGTGTGCTGGACCGTCACCAACAAGGACAGGCACCCTGAAGCCAAAAGCAGGAGACAATGCTACAGGCAGACCAGATCTCTGGGAGGTGACCTACTTCTGTTTGTGGGGTAACAAAGGTTATGCAAATGAACACACACACTGCCTGACTGCTTGGGAGCTCACAGGAGGAGCCTGAGTTCTTACTCGGACTGGGTAAAATACTGCCCAGACAATGGGGAAGACAGTGGACAACTCCCAGGGAGCTCTCGGTCCATCAGTCTATCAATGGTGGTAACACATACAACAATAATAAAGAAACTGTATTAAAATAAGGCCATATTTGTACCAGAGTGACCTTGTTAATGTACGTATTTTTTCACACCACTTTCCTTTAAAAATGTTTTCCCATATACCTAAGGATAAACTCCACACTTAAAACAAAGCCTATAGAGCTGGTGAGGTCTGCCTTCAGCCTTTCTCTGCTGCCTCATCTCCCTTCATGCCCTACCTTACACGCAGAGCTTGGTCACTCTGAACGTGCTTCAGTCCTTTCCATCCTGGGATTGCTCTCTTTTCTAAGTCTTGCTGCATGCGGGTCTCTTGGGTGGAGCACTCTTCCCTATCACTGGACACCATTCCACTCCCTTCACTAGACTGATTACTATCTATTCCTCATGTCTTCAGCTGCACCCTCCCCTCCTCAAGAAGCCTTCCCTGACTGCAAATCTGGGAAAGGGGCCTCCCTTTGTTTTCCCAAAGTGCCTCATCTTACCTTAAGGAGGAATTTTCATACTTCTTGCTGTTGTCAAGTTTACTATAGGCTCTGAGAAAGCTGACTGGTTTTTGTCTCTAACTCACTCTTCAAACACAAGCACCTCTTATTGTGCCTGTCACCTCCTTGGCACCAAAAACTGTTTGTTGAATAAATGATAGAGTGAATGACCAAAAATACATTAACCAGTGGATATTGGCAGCACAGGTCAACATAAGCATAAAGCAAATGCAATAAAAAAAGATCAGACTGTGACACATTTTTATCAAGAAAGACTTGAAAGAATTAAGTCTCCCCCCTCCTACCTTCCGAAGATACAGATATACTACAGTTCTGCCTTGATGAGGAACCAGGTGGCACAGAAATGTCAAATGGGGCTTTAGCACAGTCAGAGGGCCACACATAATTGGCACCTTGTAATGTTCCTATGTCAATATGGTTTCTAGGCTGGGTTATAGGGGATCTTCTCACGGGAGGGTTAGTGTAGAGCAGGAGCAGTCAAACTTGAGCATCCACCACCAGGAAGACTTGAGACAGCCCAGGTCGATGTCAACAGGAGTTTCTGATTCAGTAGGACTTGGGTGGGGCCCAAGGACTTAGATTTCTAATAAATTTTCAGGAGATGTTGATGCTACTGCGATGGGAACCATACTTTGAGAAATACTGGTGTAGACTAGATTAAGAAAAAAACAACATATGCTTTGGACTCAGATATGACTTGGTTCGAATCAAACTTTACTACTTAGACATTGGGCAAATTATTTATTCTCAGTGAATTTGTGTTTCCTCAACTGTAAATGGAGATTGTATTGGTACTAACCTCATCAGGTCCTTGTAAGAATTCAATGAAATAGTCCACATCCAGTGCTTGGCTCAGTGCCTGGCACACACACACTACCATGTTAGGGTTAGCGTCAGTGTACGCGTCTTTTTCCCTCTTTATTAAAAGAGCAAAGGAGAAAGAGGTTCAAGCTGGAGTTCTCAGGTGGAGCTGACTTTAACTGAGTTGCTTCCACAAACAAAAGAAACATAGACACCCATTACAGAGCAGTTGGGTGAGCCTGTCTTAAGAGCCCAAGTCATTGGTTCTGGCTCCTGCCTCACCTTCTGGGCACAGCCCACATAAGATGGCCTGCTGAGGCTTTCGATGGACACCTGCACCCGCTTTTCTCACGTCCATGGAGAGAGCAGAGTGCTGCTCAGGACTCTGGCGCCCAGAAATGACCCGAGCCATCTCCAGGGCTGGGCTGTAAATGAGGATGTGCCCATGACAGCTGTGCTGGAGAGAGGGTCTGCAGAAGTGTAGGGGAGACCTGTGGGTGGGGGAGACTTGATGAAGGAAGAGATTTAAACTAGACCCTGAGACTCAGATAGGATAAAGATTACACATGAGAAAGAGAAGGCAGAGAAACTCATCATGTCAGGATGGAAGATGAGCAAAGCCCCTGATCAGGAAGGGGCGGTAACTTGGGGAACCTGGAGGGAACCAACCTAGCCGACAGCTCTGGCTTTATGGGAGACAGGGGATAAATAAGGTGGTCCTGGTATTGGTGACCGGAAGGTGGGGAGATGGAGTACACCACACTCCAATGCCTATTTCTAGTTAATAGATAATCACTGAGGGCTTTTCTGAAGAACAGTTATAGGGTGACAGTGGTGTTTTTAGGAAGATGGATGACTTCCTTATTCAGCTGTTAGTGAAAAAAGAATATCATTTCGAAAACAAGCCTTCAGTGGTTTGGGGATAAAGAGCTGCTGTCCATATCAGCTGTAGGATTCCTGGAAACCAATCCAATCAGGACAGAAGAGCCAGTGACTAGCATCTCAAGCCTAATATGGATTCTGTCGTAACCTGCTTTTTTTATTTTTGCTTCCCCACCCTCACTTTTTCTTTCCCAGTACTGACCTGAAATGGACTTTGGAGCTCTTGCCCAACATAGCTTTAACTGAACACAAGGAGCTATAGGTAAGATTCTTACGATGAATTTGTCAACACTAGTTTCTTTTGTATAGTAACACAAATGGATTGGAATAAGGGGGAGAAACACTGATTTGCAGTCTAAATAAGACCCTAGCTTCACGTAGCACTTTCAAATATTTTCTTTTACACACTAAATATGATCCCTGGGAAGAGAGAATGTGCCCATTTCATAGGCAGCGAATCTGAGACTGGAAAACATGACTTGTCTGTGGTCATTTATTTTCTAAGAAAATATGATTCCACAAGAGAAAGTGGTGGGGGTAGGCAGAGACAAATGTATTTGAAAAAATCAATTCATTTAAAAAAATGATTCCAGATTTGTCCCCTGAGCAGTGCTCTTACCACTCTGCCTGGCCACTTTTTAAGTAAAGGGGCATGTTTGGTATTCATTGGCTTGCAAACAACTGGAACATGGGTCCAGGTTATGTGAACAATAATTAATATACAATTGTCCACTGTCACTCTGATACTATAATTAATAACCTACATGTTCTTTATTTTACTGAACGATCATTCAACATAAAAAGCAGTTTATCAAGAAGACCCTACTCAACATTATTTGTATAGAGGTGAAACATTTGGGGAAGGAGTGGGGCTTGCCGGGAGTCAGAGGAATGAGCTCGGTTGGAGCCAGAAGTTGCTCTGGAGTAGCTCTGAAGATTGCTGAATCTGACACTCTGAGTCAGGAGAACAGGGTGATCACCTTCATTATCAAATCCTCATTCAGCTCCTCTTCCATGAATGCTTTTATTATGGGCAAAGGACACCTGGGGTCAGAGAATGCACCTTTCCCCAACATCAACACTGGCTATACTGCCTTTTATCCTCTCTTCAATTTCACCCCTTAAGTGAATTTCAAGCCTTAAAATATGCCAGGTTTCCAGATGTTTTGACCACATTGAGCTCACTCACAATCCTTCCAGGGGTCTGGCAGTCCCATAGCACCGTGCATAGCTCTCAGACCTTCCCCCACAACATGTCCTCAGCCCCCACCACCCTCACATGTAAAATAGGGAAGAGTCCCAGGATAAAAGGTAACTGAGCAACCAGCAAACCCTTCTCTCTTCTTCTAGGTTGTTGCCCTGGATCTCAGCATCTACGGTTGCATACATTGTCTTTAATCCTCACAAACCCCCTAGGGTGGGATCAGCCCTTCTCATCCACGTGGGCAAAAGTTCAGACAATAAACTAAGTCCTCTCAACCTCAGGATTTGAATTTAGGGCTTGCTGACACCAAAATTCAATCTTTTTATTTTTATTTCTTAACCCAAACCCAATCTTTCCCAAGCAGGCAGGTTTTAACCTTCTAAGTCGAAGTCAGGCACCGGACTCTATAAATGCAGGAGGATTTTTCAGATTAGGAAGAAGACAAAGGAAGTAGCAAATCCATCTCAAAGGCAAAACTTCCCATCTTTCTTTCCCATGCTGTAACTTCTCTGTAAAACTGACCACATTGGGCACGCACACTACTAAGCAGATAGGGGTTTTCAAGAAGAGGCCAAAAGCAGCAAGATCGGGGCTGAAAATATGAACAGATTCAAAAAGATAAATGCCCCGTTTGTAGATTGCATCATTGCTCTTGTTGTTTGTTTTTTTTAAAATTTAATCTTTATTGTATTCTTTTCCATTATCATTTAGTCCTCTTACACCCCCTTCCCCCCAGCAGTCCCGACACTGTTGTCCACGTCCATGAGTCCGTTTTCCTCTTTGCTCAATCCCTCCACCCGCTAACCTCCACCCCAACATCATTGCTCTTTTAAACTTAGTACTTCAAGTTTTCAGATTTGTAAATTATCTTTTTATTCTTACATTTCCTTCTTCCTGTGGCATCTCCTTATCCCCAATTCACTGCTACCTCTTTCCTAGCGGTCTCTATCATTTTGCCCTTGAAAACTTAATTCTAGAGACTGTCTTCCTGAGTTCAGATTCTACCTTCACTCCCCACCAGCTAGAGGAACTGACAAGGTATTTCCAAACTCCAGTTGTTTCTTTACACACAAAATTGGGATGATACTAACATTGGCCTGATAGGATAATAATGAAGATTAAATGAGAGAAATGTCCAGCATTTAGCAAAGAGCCTGACACATACCAGGCACTCAATAAACTATTAGCTATTATTTGTATCAACTATATGCATCTTGCCTACCTTAAAATATTGAGATCAACTGAGACTATCATGTAAAAGTATTCTGAAAGAATTAAAATGATGCAAATGTAAACTATCACTACTGTCTTCTCTTTGCAAAATGAAGTTAGTGCTTTTAAAGCTGTGTCATTTTATACTCTGGCAAACCCATTC